CCAATTTAGAAAAACACGCTTTCATCTCCTGCTCCTCCTCCCCCTCCCCCCCTCCCCCTCCCCCCAAAATGATAGTAATAATAATAATAATGAATCAAGCGCCACCACCGAACCCGCTGCTGGGATTCAGCTCTACTCCCAGATTGAGAAGTAAGCTATCTCTCTCTCTCTCTCTCTCTTCATTCTTAATTTCCTCTCAAATAAATATCCATTCATTGATAATTGAGGAAAAGACTGAGGTGTGTAGTAGTAATGGTAGTTTTTGTGGCTTCTGATTATGATGACGAGGATAATGATGAAACTGAGATAGGTCTGTGGCCAACTCATGATTCCTGCCAAGTATTCTAACTTTTCTTCCAGGATAATGGATGTATGCTTTTTTGGATGATCTGAAGTTTAAGCTTTGGCTTTCTTGGATTGCTCCAGTTTAAGTAATTGGTAAACTTAGGTTATTGGTTTTGCAGGACTCTGATTCTGGTTTGGACTTCATGTTTAAACCTTTAAAAATCTAATTTAAAATTGTCTAGATTTTATTGACTATTAAAACCTCTGCACACACACATACTGTTTTCATTTTCATCCATTGCTTGAAATGCTACTTACTCAGCTGGCAATATAAAGAGTTGGCTTCGCCCGAGAGTAATCTCTTCCCAATCTAACTTTTATTTTTGAATAAAACTGGGAAAGTGCCAGTAGGATTGCTTAACTGAAGCATAAGATGTGTTGAAATGCAATTATCTTTCACTGATAAAAAAGACAAAAGAAAAGGAAAGATCAGAAAGGCCAACTGTCTTTTGCTATGTCTGCTAGTTTTTTGAGGTTATTGAATTGTTTTCACTCTGAAGTAATTCACATGCCAACATATCTTCAAGATGCTAAATAAATGGGTAAGATTTAGTTGCATCTACCAACACACCTGTTACAGTGAGTCATCCCTCGTAATATCCATCTTGGAGATGGATTTTGGGATCCAAGATCTTCCAAGTCTATCCTGGACACCACAAGATCATGAGTCTGAGAAGAGAAATGAATTTTGAGCCTTAAAAATGATCTGTTTTGTACTTCTTTTTTTTTAGGACCATTCATTTTATTTCTTCAAATGTCTTCATAGCTGCACTTCATTTTATTTCTTCAAATGTCTTCATAGCTGCACAGGTTTTGGAGCTCCAAGTTCATGGATCTGAGGGCAGAAATGGCTTTTAAGTGATTTAGGATGTGTTTCAAGTCTTGAATCCTTTGAAAACCAGGGTAGATGCATGAGTTGGCTGACTCACCAAATACTTTTCCAAAAACAATTGCTAAAGAATCTTCATAAAGCTCTCATGGAACTGAAACTGGATTAAAGTTTATTGGGAAGCATGGAGTACTAACTTGAAGCTTGGGTCCGAATCCACAGATATGGATTGTCCTTCCCATAGCATCTCTTGTTACTAAACAACCTTTTTGGCTCTTTTGCGTTTTTCTTTTCATACCTGGTATATACACATTTTTTTTTCCCCTTTTAGTAGTTCACTGCATGCATTCGTCTAGAACTACGGAGGTTAAAGCTGCATTTAGCTGAAGTTGGTGAAGCTATTATTTTTAGCTTTCTACATGTACAATCAGCATTATAATCATATAAGAAGAATATTTCTGTCCCAATTTTTAATAGAAGTGTTAATTTGAGGTTTAGTTGTCTAAAATTGGATTGTGTTATTTTATTTCTTATTTTGCAGACTAATGACAGACACTGCAAAGCAATCATATGGTGGTTGGGGTACCTCAGGAGATTGGAGTGAAATTGAGGTGTTGTATTTACTTAGCATTAGTGTTACTAAATGTCATGTTTTGCACAGAGGCAAGGCGCATTTTGCTTGAGTATCTTGCTGATGATCACAAGAGAACTGTTACGACTGCTAATATACTTCGATGACTTTCTTCTTTTTGCATTTGCTATTAACTATTAAGACAAATTTGATTGTTAATTCCTTCATGGGTAATGACCAAATGAATAATTTAAGGTTCCTCATTCTGGGTATTATTCAGGATGATAATGGACAATCACCGAGTGAAATGATGTATGATACGTAATATGATTGAACTCTACAAACCATATTGTGGTGCTTTATCTGTTGCCACATTATGTAAGTTTGGGAACCTGTTTTTTATGTTTATCTTAGGGTGGTTAATGTAAAGTGCATGGCCTAGCAATTGTAATTGGTTGTCCATTATGACTGTAATTTATCAGGTCACCTCGTTTAGCAGGTGACAGGAACCTGTTGCTCGCTATAGTATTTCTTGTTTTGAGATTCCTCAAAGTATTCTTTCACTTGGATCTCATGCATTGATGATCTCCTTATCTGGACCTGAAGCCAAACTGGTAACAGGGCCAGCTGGCTTGGTCTGATTTGGATGTTCAGCCCAGATCTGATCGTATTTGAAACATGTATTGGTTTAGGTAAGCTTGTAGATGTATTATATAAATTAGCACCACATTAGAAAGATATCCTGAAAAGATTACCTATGTGTTTAAGTGATGCGTACGCCGCATATTTTTCAGAAGCTTGCAGCAACATGGTGTTGAGTATTCATGAAACCACAATGTTTTCCTCGACAATCCCGTCATGATTTACCCCACTATGCTACTAGTTGTGCTCCAGTTATCACCTTTCACTGGGGCAATTTGCTTGGTAAAAGCCGATACCTGATAAAAGATGGCTTGTGTAGGTTCCCAAACTGCTTGTTGCACACATTACTTTCTTATTGTTCTATACTTGGCTGGGATACTATATGTTGTTTATACTGATTATTAGAAATGCACAGTAGACTGCGATGAATTTTCTTTGTTGGATTTGTTGTTTATCTATCATCTGGGGGAAATGCTAAGATGAGACTCGAAAGCAACATCAATTGGGAGTTACTGCATCTGTAATGTCTTTATTCTATTTCAAGGGTAGTAAGGTACAATCCAAGATTATGTCTAAATCCGTATCATCATATAGTAGTTGATATATTGGAGGGTAAACATGGTGCCTTGTAGATCTTTGACTATCCCCTAGAGCAGTTAAATATCCAAGTAAATAAAGATTATATCTTTGCAATGTGTTTAAAGCTGCTTATTTTTCTCTGAATTCTCAGAGGGGAAACAGTGTCCATGTTTCACTTTTGCAATTGTTAAGTTGCCTTTCTCGTTTCCATTTGCAGTATTGGACTAATAATTTATTCAAAATCAAAATGAAATCATAGAGCTATGATTTGGAAACACTCCAAACAATTCTTGTACCATGCTTCTCAACCAACAAGTTAGAATCAGGCGCTCAAATGAACGTGATCACCTTCTGAATCCCTTGTAATAGTGTCCCCATTGTTTTATTGAGGACTTTGTCTTGTTTGCCAAACTCTGGACTTTTATTTTGCTTTATTATCTGTACTTGTACTAATGTCTTTTTCCCTTGGAGCAGAAGAATAGGATCCTAATCAGTGAGAACGATCTTCTGCATCATCCAAAATATTTGCATATTTTGCTGATTTGAGATATGTTTGTAATTTTTAACTTGCCTTGGGCCTTGGACTTGACCCTGGCCCAAGGCAAGTAACTATGCCGAGTCTGAGTGGACTCGGCTGAGTAGTATACAAATTTTAAAAAATAAAAAATGGTTAAAAATGAAATAAAAATTGTAAAAGTTAAACAGAACCAAAGGAAAAAGTCCAAAAAAACTAAAAATATTACATATAACATGGATATAGAAAAAAATGAATTTATAGTTGGAGATATTTTACAAATAATATATGAAAAAAAGAGGAAAATATAAAAATAAAGGCATTTGTCTAGAAAAACTAAAAAATCATTGTAAAAGAAATCCAAAATTACATGTATAAATTTTATTCATTGACTTCATATTTTTATATGATTTTTATTTTATTCTTTTAAGTGCCCCGACTTGGACCCGAGTACTTCGCTCAACAAGGAGCCGAGTTCAAGTAACCGGGCCGAGTCCGAGTGGACTTGGCCAAGTTTTAAATGAATGGTTTGTAAAGAAGAAAGGTGATGTCTTATTGCCATTTGTTTCAAATAAGCAATTCCTTGTCAAGATAAATGATGTCAATTCCAATAACATAGAAGAAATCAAATAAATAATATGTTGCCTGAAATTAGTGTACACTAAGAAGCCTAGCTTCAATGGCTTTGGAATTCAATCGAATTCATAATAACAATGTTCAGAAATAACAATAACCAACTCTGAATGCGAAACCATAACTCGACTTTTATTTATAGACTTTATTTGGACCCCGATAATCCTGAATCTCATGTGATTAGAATTTAGAACTCCTAACTAAACTTGACCCCAAATATGACACTTTTACCCTTGACAAAATAAAATAATCCTAAAAATAAGCCTAAAATATTACTTCAACTTCTCATAGGCATATTTTTTCTCTTTGATGTTAAAATCACTATTTTGACCCCATTTAGGAAATGACTGCTTAGGCCCTACTGGTTATAAACCAACTTCGTTGGTTTGCTTGAGCAATTGGGGCCTAAAAATGCCTCTAAAGCCTTGAATGATGATCTTCATGATGATCATCCCCCCCCTTTCAAGTACTTTGGATTCAATATTGGTTGGATGATGCAGGACAAAATTATTTATAATTTATAATTTATAATTTTTGTTTAATTTCAAGAGATGTATATTTTAATTTTAGTTTTAACATTTACTTTTAGGGTTTGTAAGTTTTCTAGGGTTTTTTATACTTTTATATTTTATTTATTATACATGGGTACTATCCATGTTATTGTTCATGCATATTGTTCACACATTACTATTGTTCATGCATTAATGTTCACAGGAGTATTTCTAGAATTTAAGTATTGTTTAGGGGTATTTTAGAGTTTTAAAAATGTATTTGGGTCTCAAGTTAATTTTAGGATTTCATAAACTCATTAAAGGTTGGATATTAAATTTCAGGAGGCTTATGTTATTGGAATGAATTTTATTTTATAAAAGAAGAAGGTTCTTCTTTTCGCTTGATTTACAGCCATGTTTTTTCTCCATTATTGCTGATTTTACTTGTTTAAGATTCAGGAAAATGGTGGATTTAATTTCCTACCTTCTCTTCTTGCATCAAATTAGTAGGTTCAAAGATGGTTAGAGATTGCGATGGCTGGTTGTGGAGGTCTTAGCCATAAGGATGCAGTTATGATTGGATTGCGCAAGAAATCCACTACTTGGGGCAGCAAGGATATCTCATTTTCTCATGAATGGAGAGATAGAGAAGCAAGATGTTGACTTGAACCCAAAGGAGCTCAAGCATATAGAGATTTTAGGTGAAGACAGAAATAAGGTGATGAAGGAGGCACAAGCGGGAAGGCTAGAAATGCAACATGTGAGGATTTTGAGAATATGATCAACAATTACAAAAAATGCATGGAGATAGATGATGAAGATGCATCTTATTTTATTGACAAAAAGATCGATGATGAACACATATCTTGTTGAGTGGTTGTGTATCTAGAGATGAAAAAGTTTGAATATTGTTCTAAGGATCGTAACAAGGCTTTAAAGGTTGAAGAAGATCATGGGTTTAATGCAAAATTCATCCTAGTTCGTTTCAAAACTCGAGGACGAGTTTTCTCCAACCAAGGAAGAATGATGTAGGACAAAATTATTCTAATTTTTGTTTAATTTCAAGAGATGTATATTCTAATTTTAGTTTTAGTATTTATTTTTTAGGATTTTAAAGTTTTCTACGGATTCTAAGGTTTTATATTTTATATTTTATTTACTGTTCATGGGTACTATTCATGTACTGTTCATGCATATACTGTTCATGCATTACTATTCATGCCTTGCTGTTCACAGGGATATTTCTGAAATTTTTAGTATTGTTTAGGGGGGTTTTAGAGTCTTGAATGGGTACTAGGGTCTCAAGTTAATTTTAGGGTTCATAAGCTTATAAAAGGTTGGATGTCAAATTTCGGGAGGCTTATGTTATTGGAATAAATTTTATTTGATGAAAAAAGAAAGTTCTTTTGGCTTGATTTATAACCATGTTCTTTCTCCATTATTTTTTATCATACTTGTTAAGGTTCAGGATAATGGTGGATTCAATTTCCCACCTTCCCTTCCTGCATCATGAGAAGACAATACTGACTAAATCGTTACATGAATTTTAAAAAGACTTTGATTTTCTCATGTTGGGTACAATTATGATAAAGTGCATTTTAAACCCTTTTTTTAAAAAAGAAAAGGGAAAAAGACAAATACCCCCCTCCCTCTTACTTATACCCAAATAAACCCTTTGAGTCCATAGAAAGCTGGACCCCCTTTGGTTTTGAAATTTCGGATCCTCTCCCACCTCCCTGCCTTTTCCTCTCCCTTATTTACTATTTCTACCCTCTCCTTTTATAATATGACAAAATCGGATAATATATTAAATGATTAATAGTTAAAATGTTTCGTCTTCCTGATAAAACTACTCTCTCTCTCTCTCTCTCTCTCTCTCTCTCTCTCTCTCTCCCCTCTCCCCACCCCAAAAAAAAGGTTGACTCTCTCTCTAGCCCACCTCCTCTACCTCTCCCACCAAGGAACTCTCTCTTTCTCTCTCTCTATACCCCACCTCCTCTGCCTCGTCTCCACCAACAACCTGGTCTGTCTTTATTTTGGTATGATTAGCAAATTATATTACCTCTAGTAATGTGCGCAATACACGTTGCTAAAGGGTTCATTATGGTTGCATGTCCTACACATCATGTATTTTGCATCATTTCTGATTTTTTAAAAATTCTTTATTGTTTTAATTAGGGAGGACCTTAAACTTTCCCTTCCCAAAGCTAGGGAAAGGGGGTGGGTTGTGTTAGGTAGATAGCCAACATAAAACTCTACCAAAACTTCTCATGAATTCTCATTGTTTTAATTAGGGAGCATGGGTGCTAAAGCCAAGAAGCTCAAGGCCAACATCAATTGTCCACTTTGTTGGTGGTATTTTTGTTGGGGCTGCTCCTCAGATTACATATCGTTTGTTTCTTGAGCGCCTTTCAGAAAAGTGAGTGGTCTTCGCAATCTTATATGGGGTTATTATTTGCTTACTCAATAGTAGTTTGTAGTTATTGATATCTATGTGTGAGTTTATTTATGAGAGTTTTATAAAATGATGTCATAAAGGCTGGGTATGGTTAAACAAATGCTAATGCATCGGATATTATTTCTGTTGGTGGGTGGCTTTGTAAATTTGTACAGGATATTGGAGTATTTTATTATGGAAAACGTTTATACAAGGTTGCAACTTTAAAATGTAGAATAAAAGATGCACCTAAAAAATCCATCGGAAAAGGTTGTTTTAATGTTGAAAAACCCTCTAATTGATCATCTTGACATCGAGATGTATGAATATGAAAAAAAGAAGATTTGAGTCCCAAAAATAGTTTTTCTTGCAACACATTATCTAGACCGTCCATTTTCAAGATTTTCATATGTTTATAGATCTACTTGATTTTAATCATATTTAGAGTTTAAAATTTTATAATTAGATATGAAAATAGATTTTTAGATAATCCTAAGATTTTTTTACACCAAAATTACCTGTTATGATAAAATTTGGAGTTGCACCTTAATTGGATTGCTTAAGGTTGCAACCTTATAGAAACGACACCCTTTTATATTAACATGACTTTTTATTAGGAATCGGGCTTGGGCTTGAGTGCTTAGTAGTTGACTTTAGCAACCCTACATCTCGACTTCGATTCCTACCTCTAAACTATCCAAAAAAAGAATGACTTTTTATTTGCATTTAGTTCATCTGGCCTTTTTAGCTTTCTATGGCATGGTTTCCATATTTGACTAGAAAATTGTAACAATCTCCTTATCTCATTGTTTTCTAAATTTGATGGCTCAGGGGGGTATTGGTGGTCGCAACACCATTTGCCAGTGGATTTGATCACTTCTTTATTGCAGATGATGTGCAATTCAAGTTTGATAGATGCCTACGATTTTTACAAGGAAGTGTGAGTTCCTAGATGTGTGGACCTGTAGAAAACTTATTTATTTGTTGAAATTGCTCATTGTCCACTTGCTTCTATGCTTTAGGTAAATGAGCTTCCAATTTTTGGCGTTGGTCATTCTTTAGGATCAGTAATCCACCTTTTGATAGGTGACCTCTTCTGATATTTATGGTTTTCAATAACAACTTGGCTTTATGCTTTTTATGCATAAAAAATGCTAAATGTAATTTGAGTTTATGCTACAGGATCTAGGTACGCTGTAAACAGGTGTGGAAATGTATTTATGGCATTCAACAATAAGGTACTCTCTTTTATAGCTTTCATACGTCTTGCAAGACAGAGTTCATTTTGGATAAGTTCTATTGACAACATCTGTATGTTAGGCCTTGTGAACCTGTTGCAAGGGAGGCTTTATATTATATTGAGCCTTTTTATCTGCCTTGCAAGGAAATTGTCAATCTCTTAATTAGCATTTCAAGAGAATTAAAGTATGCTAACATGAATATTAAGTCTTATCCTAATCACTCTAAAATTCCATTGATGTGAATGTTATTGTTTGGCATATGCCTTCACTTGCTAATGTATTCTCCTCCTTTACTTATGGTATACTATTGCATGATTTTGAAGGCAGTGCAGCCTTTAATGCTTTGGGAAGTGATTGTTCTCTTTGTTATTCTTGTTTATCTCGGAAGCGGTTGTATCTTCATTTTGCCCATTCATTACTTAAAATATTAAACTTACGAAATTAAAGATTGGCAATGCCCCGAATTTTTCAGGAAGCAAGCCTCGCCATCCCAATGTTTTCTCCAGTGATTGTTCCAATGGCCCAAAGTTTTGGTCCGGTGCTTTCTCAGCTCACATCTTCTCCTACTGTTCGATATGGAGTGAGCCTCTGATGCTATCATTGTCATTTGCAAGACATGTTTCTTACCATATCTAAGTTGTTATGAGAATACTCACATAGGTGATAGCCATTTTTTTGTCCTTGGCATACATTGCATATCATCAACTCAGTTGATGTACAATTTTCTGGATGAAAAATGAATGTGAAAATCTCCAGAATTTATTGAAGCCTAGTTTCCACATGCTGCCATCCTGCTCAAGCTAAATGATGAACTCTTTATTTGCCAAGTACTTGGATTTGTGATCATGTGTATAGGTCACAAAATAATGTGAACTCTACAAATGGATTATAAGGAATGCACTAAATTATATATATATATATATATGGAAAATTCTTCCCAACGCCTATAGGCGAAAATGAATAGTGATTTTGCCTACCCTCATAACGCTCCAAAGTTCATCGCACGGTCACGATTGTCCGATAGTGTTTTATTTTTTATTTTTTTACAAATCGGAATGATTTGAAATTTTTAGTGTGTGTATATCTTAGTAATGCACATTTATTAAAAATACAAAAAAAAATAAAATTGTCCAAAAGACCCCCGAAACTTTTCTGGGGTATTTTGGTCAATTGTTTTCATGTGAAATATTTTTTTGATATTTTTTGTAGATTTGCCTATTTTTTATAAACACATGCTCCAAATTCAGGTCATTCCGATTTGTAGAAAAAAAATAAAAAATGAAACACTACCAAACAATCATAACCGTGCGATGAACTTTGGACGGTGATGAGGGTAGGCGAAATCGCTGTTCATTTTTGCCTATAGGCATGTCGTAGTATCTTCCTATATATATATATAAGAAGAGGTTGTTTTGATGTTCAAATATTTTCAAATTGATCATCTCGACATCAAGAAGCATGGACATGAAAAAAAAATGGATTTCAAGTTTTGGAAATAGTGTATTTTGTAACACATTTTTGGATCGTCAATCTTCAAGATTTTCAAGTTTTCATAGAACTGTCAATCTACACAATTTTTGAAGCTGTAAACTATATAAATAAATATAAAAACATATTTTAAGGCTATCACAAAGATTTCCAATTTTGAAACAACTTTTTTTGATACTATTTGAAGGTAGGCTCTAATTTGATTGTTTAGAGCCTAGGCTCTATACAAACCGCACCCATATATATATATATATGGTATAATCTAAAATTCACAACCATTCAAAATATATAATCGTTAATATTATAATGAGTTGTAAAAGATGGATTTACTAACAATGCGAAGTTATCTTTTGTGGTATCTTGATATATAGGGTTGGGTTGTGTTAAGTAGGCAGCCAACGTAAAATTTTGCCACAACTTATCATGAATCCTTAACCTACAGTATCTGCTTATGCTAGGGCATTCCCCCAGAAGCAACGCATTGTATCGGAACCCGGGTACAATGAGAAATGACCAAGGGGCAGCTAGGGCGTTCCCTAGAAGTGACGCGCTGCAGCGCTACCCAGTTGCGGTGAAAAATATGCAAGGGTTCCCACGACATCCTGGACGAGCTCAGGTAAAGAAACTAGTCCAAGAGACTAGGATTCGTCTAGCCACATGGAATGTAGAAACGCTTACAGGTGTAAAGAAACTAGTGGATACAATGAGACAAATGAAAGTAAACATATCCTGTCCGTAGGAAACTGAATAGAAAGGAGAAAAAGCTAAAGAAATAGATGGGTATACATAAAAATAAACAAAGGATAATAATAGAAATGGCGTAGACATAATAGTAGACAAAGTTTTAAAAGATAAAGTAGTTAATATCAAAAGAATAGGTGATAGGCTCTCATTAATTAATTAATGTAATTAGTGCTTATGCACCACAAGTAGAATTAGATGATAGAATTAAGAGACAAGTTTGGGAGGACATAGATAGAATAGTCCAAGACATACCAAATGGAGAGGGGTCCTTTTTAGGAGGGGACTTAAATGGTCATGTAGGGAAGGATAGTAGAGGATATGAAGGGGTATATGTGGGACATGGGTTTGGAAAAAGAAATGAGATGGGTGAGACTATTCTAAATTTTGCTATGCCTACGACCTAGCAATAGCAAACACTTACTTTAAAAAGTGAGATGAACATTTAATAACCTATAAAAGTGGATCATGTAAAAGCCAGATAGATCTTCGTAGCTAAGAAGGTAGATCGACCATCATGTAAAGACTGCAAGGTTATCCCAAGAGAGAGTTTGACTACCCAACAGAGGCTTGTGGTTGTGGACGTCTGTATAAAGACATGGAAGAAAAGGGTTGAAAGTAATGGGGGTCCAAGAACTAGGCGACAGAATTTAAAAACTGAGAAAATAAACTTATTTGGGGATAAATTAGTTGAAAAAGGGAATTGAGCTTTGAACATGTTGTCACTGTAATATGGAATGAGATGACTAACTGTATTAAGAAAATGGTAAAAGAAGTTTTAGGAGAATCTAGAAGGAAAAGAAACTCCGATAAAGAAAGTGGCGAGTGATGAGGTTCAAAAGGCCATTAGCGAAAAACGAGCATGTTATAAAACTTGACAGTGTAATAGAAACAATCAAAACTCAGAAGAATATAAAAATGCCAAGAAAAACGCTAAACAAATAGTAAGTAAAGCTAAACTTAAAGCATATAATAATCTATACAATAAACTGGGAACAAGAGAAGGTGAAAAAGATATCTTCAAATTAGCAAAAATAAGAGAGAAAAAGTGTAGGGATCTAAACCATATTAAATGCATTAAGAGTGAGGATCAAATGGTCTTGGTAAAGATGATGAGGTCAACGAAAGGTGGAGAGTTTATTTTAAAAAATTATTAAATCATGAATACAATGGGAACATAGTGGTAGAAGGAACTGGTGGTACAAATGAGGGCGAAAATCATAGATACATTCATAGGATTAGGATGTCAGAAGTGAAAAAAGCTTTGAAAAGGATGAAGATAGGAAAGGTTTTTAGGACTAGATGATATCCCGATAAAGGTTTGGAAGTGCATGGGGGGATTGGCATTGACTGGCTGACGAAGCTCTTGAACAAGGTGTTGAGAACAAAGATAATGCCAGACGAATGGAAGAAAAGTATTGTGGTACTTATTTACAAGAACAAAGGAGACATACAAAATTGTGCGAACTATCAAGGAATCAAGCTTATGAGCCGTTCTATGAAGCTCTAGAAGAGAGTGATTGAGTAACGACTAAGGCATTAAACGACTGTATCTGAAAGCCAATTTGGTTTTATGTCAAGAAGGTCAACAATTGAGGCTGTTGTCCTACTTAGGCAACTGATTGAGAAGTTTAGGGCGAAAGGAAAAGACCTCCACATGGTCTTTATTGATCTAGAGAAAGTTTATGATAAAGTACCTTGAGATTTGATTTGGCAGGTGTTAGAAAATAAAGGAGTCACTAGACACTACATCGACTTGGTGAGAGATATGTATGATGGAGCGTTAACTAGTGTATAAACAACTAGTGGAGTGACGAGTGAGTTTTCAGTGACAATAGGCCTATATCAAAGGTCAGCATTGAGCTCAAACCTCTTTGTCTTAATTATGGGCAACTTAACTAGGCACCTACAAGATGAGGTACCATGGTGCTTGTTGTTTGCAGATGACATAGTTTTGATCGATGAGACCCGAAACGGTGCCAACACAAAGTTATAATTCGAAGGGATGCTCTAGAATCTAAAGGTTTTAAGATTAGTCGGACTAAGACAGAGTATATGGAATATAAGTTTAGTAATAACATGACTTGAGACAAGGAAGTAGTTAAGATTGACGGCCAGGAAGTGCAAAAAAGATCGCTTTTTCGATATCTTGGGTCGATAATCCTGGAAAATGGAGAGATTGAGGAAGATATTGCACACAGGATTAGAGCTGAGTGGGCGAAGTGGAGATGTGCAACTGGAATTTTATGTGATCGCCGCATACTAATGAAGCTGAAAGGCAAGTTCTGTAGGACAACTGTGAAACTAGCTTTTCTATATGGGGTTGAATGTTGCGTGAACAAAAAATAATATATCCATAGAATGAATGTAGCGGAGATGAGGATGTTGATATGGATGAGTGGTAAGACAAGAAGGGATAGAATTCGAAATGAATCCATTCGAGAGAATTTAGGTGTGGCATGTGATCGCCGCATACCAATGAACTTGAAGGGCAAGTTCTATACGACAGTTGTGAGACCTGCTTTGCTTTATGTGGTTGAATATTAGGTGGACAAAAAC